AGAAAGTCGTAGCAGCCATTACATAACTTCTGATTCAGTTCCACAATCACGAGTAAAGAAATCACGTGACAACCTTATCATCAGTAGCTGCGTTCTCCTTTTATTCCTTGCGGATTAGGATTTGGGAAACGTGACTCTAGGGAACAGGATAGATCAGGCGACGGAAAGACGATGTATCCGCACCAGCGTGCGATAAATATTCGGTAATTTGTCGCAATAAGAAAAAAAAAATTGAATGGATTTCCGTCATTAGAGCTTGGTGAATTAAAGAAAAGCGTTTCTCGTTCTGGTGTATCGTTGCAATTGTGTTCATTTCAGATCATTGTTGCTGTTTATTGATGAAATTTACCTTATGTGTTAAGTCTTGCGCCTTCTTCTGTAGAATTGAATAATGTGTCGTCAAATTTCAATTTAGACTCAAGGAATGGGATTGTCGACCTCATCTCTAGTTTATGTTCACTTTCTGGTAGCCATGATGCTATTAGACATAGCAGGTAATTCTCTGGTCTGCCTTCTGGTATTGAAAAATAGAGCAATGAAAACCTCGATCAACTGGCTTCTCATCCATTTGGCCATAGCCGATTTGCTGGTCGCTGTGTTCTTTATTTCTACCTGTGTACTCAGCCACTTCGTTCAGCTGCCAAGCGGCTTCTTAGGAAATTTGCTTTGCAAATTCGTTTTCAATGGTGTCATAGGTTGAGTGGCGGCAGCAGCCTCGAGCTTCCTGCTTGTGGTAATAGCGTTCGATCGTTACAGAGCCACCTTATATCCTCTCAAAACGCTTCGAGTTCGACCGTTAACAAGGATGGTTCCAGTAGTATGGATTCTCGCTGCTGTGGTATTGTCACCCAGCATTATCGTGTCAGCCTACGCTGTAAAAAGGCAAGGGTGTGTGCAGAGGTACCCCAGTCGACACCATGGCTCGAGTGTATAAAATCTCCTGATCAATCGTTGATTCTGTGGTACCAATTTGCACGATGGGATACCTATATATACGGATCGCTTTGCGCCTGCGTCATCGCGAACTACCGCTGCGTTCACTTTCTCAGCCCATACCTCAGTCCCGTGGAAAAGTAACCAAAATGCTCTTCCTAGTGTCCCTTATCCTCAACTTGTGCTGGACGCCTCCTGCCACGCTTTTTCTCCTGAGTCCATTGGTTCCTGGTGGGCTTAAAACAGTTTACTCTGTGTCCCAGGCAAGCGCGCTGCTCAACTCCTGCATTAACCCACTCGTATACACCCTGCACAGTCAAAAATTCAGGAGCAATCTCGCCTCACTGATACCCTGTTACAACAGAAAGGAAATCTCACTTTCACACTGATCAACGAGAAAATGGAATCTTAGGAAAAATTACAAAATGTATTATGTAGTTATGTTTTTTTCAATGGTAGCGTAGATTTAAATTTTTAGCTGAAAGGAAAATCCGTATAATTAAATTCATTTAATACTTTAAGTAAAATTCTGTTTGTATTCTAAGGCAAATATTGCGCCCTGGCTGGCTGACGTGCTCAATATCTATCCGCTGTTGATAAGAATCTTTAAGGGTTCCATCACAAATGCTGCAATCTGATTGGCTACGCTACACGCTCTTCTTTCCGTGATAGACAATGATAAAAATGAGTGGTCTTATAGTGCGTGGTTATAAAGCAAAATAAAACAAACACGCGAGCCTATCTTGATGTAAAGTTTTTGAACAACCAATAGATTTATTTCGATTTCTATGCGTGATAGTCGACTTGTTTGTTATTCATTCCTCAAATTTCACTGTTTTGATGGCAAAAACCAACAGATATTGAAAATGGCATATTGACAATGAACCTCTCTCTTTATGTTTATCATAAATCTCTGACATCGATAAAAATATCCGACGGCAGTGACCGTATCATGACAATTGCAACATAGTAGGAAGGAACCGCTCGATCAATCAGATTGCTAGAAACTCTTTACTCAGCTCTGAAATTATACTAATATTCAATATTTCTACTTTTTTGGTTTTTGTTTTTATTGATAAACTTAAACATAAAAGCTAGTCTTCTATACCTATGCAGCATCTAGATGAACGTTGTTGCAGATAAGACGTTGCAGTGAAGTGATTTTATGTCAGTGATAATATTTAACAATTATTCGCCTCAGGTTCGGTGAATATTGTCGAATAATCCCCGAGACGAAGTCGAGGGGATTATTCGACAATATTCACCGAACCTGAGGCGAATAATTGTTTTAATATAATTTCAGAGCTGAACAACAGAGAAATTTCTAAAATCATAACATTTTAGTAACATTTATTAACATTTTATTTTAACATTTTATTTTAACATTTTATATAAACCGCGTGGAGCGGTTCATACAGCGTCATCTAAGGAACCGCTCGACCAATCGGATTACTGGAAACTCTTTGCTCAGCTCTGAAATTATACTAATATTCAATATTTTTTTTTTTTTACCATGCGTGAAGTAATTGCATTGAACTTTGCACACAATGTGGTAATTTTCAAAGTGGTTTGAAATGTACTTGGCTGAACTTATAGCGTCCCAGTCAATTTTTATAATCTGCCTTTCTCCATATAAAAAAAAAATTGAAACAAATAAAATCGTTTATTTTCTGATAGAATCGTTGATCAATGAGAATCTTTTCAGCTTGCGTATCAATCTTCGCCGAGCAGAAGTCACGCGAAAATACAAAGCAAAAGGGGCGCTACAATTATTAAGATCCAGGAGGAGGGTGAACACGATCAGACAGGCCTCCTTGTGGGACTTCACCATTTGAAATACGTGTTAGTATGCGATATTCTCGATAATTTTCTCTTCTGGTGTTTGTTCATCCCTTGTGAAACAACTCTTACTGGTAGATTGTGTTCTGTACTTCGCTTTCAACTCAGCTTTATCACGGAGCTCTTTGGGTTACTCTGACCAGGATATTAATTGAGTTAGTTGAGGATAAACAGTATGTTTGAACTTTGTATTTTTCGCTGATATTTTCTACAAATGATTTTCTTCATTACAAAGACTCTACAAACGTATATTAAACCCACGCGTTCAATTATGGAAATAATAGCAGATACGTTTACTCAACTGCGACACTATTTTCTTAGCTGCAAATCAGACAGCCTTGTCATCAATTCCACTCAAGAACACGCTCAGAGCATTAACTCTCCCTAACTAATGCTTATCAATTGTTTATATTTTATCAGGAGAATTTGTTGATCCATCAGGGCACAATCAGTTTAGATACATTTGCATTATCACTTATCTATGTGTATATGGAAGAAGACATAAAAACGATATCAGTCAAAATAGATTTGGCAGCAGAGTTATAAACTTGCTCTGAAAAGCAAACTTTGCATCAATCAGCAAAAACCAAAATGGAGCTTTTCTTTGATCGTTAGAATTGTCAAAGCTTAAAGGTAAGTTCAAAGCTAACGACGTAACGGCTACAGTACTTTATCTGAAACATACCAGCGCAGTTTCTGCCAGTAGTAGCTAATTTCATTGTTGTCACGTATCAGTCATGTCTGTTCGAAGTTGAAACATCACGTAAATCATATTCAACGAACGACACAACTCACTGATTACCCAAATCGAAGCCAAAAAATCGTCTTTTTTTCGAATAAATTTGAAACCTTGACGAAATCAGAAAAATTACAATTGAGAGCTCTCAAAATCGTATCTTCAGTACGGGGAAAGTAAAATGCGGTTTGTGATTTATAGAATCCAACCTATTGAGTTTATCCCCTTTTGTACAGGAGGAAATAGAAATCTTAGCACGGGCACTCCGCACCGTTTTAGCAATCTATGTCTTCCATTGTACTTTCGTAAGATCCTTCCAAGGTAAAATAGACAAAGTGCTCGAGAGTTTTCATTCCGTTCCTTTTTTTTTTTTTTTTGCTTAACTGTTCGCTTTAACAAAAATGCATTTTTTCATGTTCTCAAGTCTAACGATCAATATTTTGGAGTAAAATTTCATTTATAGTAGCAAGCTTGTTCCCCTTGTTGCCCTGACTCCTCATCCTTCAAAACAGCGTTATGCGATTTACAACGGATTAGGTAAACTTGGGAAACTAGTCCGATTTTCGCCTCCAAGATCAAACACACTTATCAACAATTGGGAAAAAAAGATTTAATGATGATTTTTAAGGATGCTCTCTATTTTTTAGGACTTATTCTTCTGGTTATCTCTTTCCTAATGTAAACCTCATTATCTCTCTTTTTTCGCCATCGTGCATGATCAAATCTCATCGGCAAAACAAAAGAAGCTCACAAATTGCTTCGGGTGTGCCCTTTATTGCCGACTCAAAGTTTATCTGTTTCAAAATTATGAGGGATTAAATTTTGATAACATAAACGATAATGTAACGATAATTCCATGGCAACATAACTCAGGAGACCGGTTATCATTTATCACCTGGAGGAGGGGGAAGGGGAGGGGGGGGGGCTGGTCGTAGGATTTTGGTTGCGTCACGATAACATTTACCTGGTCCTCCCATGAGGCTTTGTAATGTTCTTATTCCTTTCCCCCGCTGGCAGTTAAATGATGACGGACTCCTAATAATACTTTGTCAAGACATCATGAACAGAAACGTCGGAAGCCATTTCTGTCCTGCTCACTGACACACTATTTGATCTTAAGTAAATTGATATATCAAGAGCCTCGATCGCTGAGAATTTAACCTTGTTTGTTTTCGCTCTGTGTTCATTCATATTCTGAAAAGCATTCATTCAACGGAAAACGAATACTGATTGGTATAATATCTTATTTACTGCAAATTTACTTTACCGCAAACGATTCAAAAGCTTATGCAAAATTCTTTGTCATTTCCTCCTCTTTGTTAATTTTGTGTTTTTCTGTTTGCACAGCTGCTCCAATAATTTAGGATTGTCCGCCTAAAATTTTCTGATGTGTTGCTTTTGACAAGACGTGAATGGAATGGGTAAATACATAACTGCTGCATCGTCTGCTTTGACAAAAAATTGATATTGGTTCTTGTCTTTAAATTCACAGATACACATCGGCTCGCAGAAAAGAAATCGAAGTTCGTTTCTCGTAATGGCAATTGGGACCGCTTCTCTGGTTTACGCAGTTTTCCTGTCTGTTATGATAGTTTTTAACATAGCAGGGAACTCGGTGTGCTTGGTAATTTTGAAGAAAAATGTAATGAAAACCTCGATCAACTGGCTTCTTTTCCATCTGGCAGTTGCTGATGTACTGGTCGCGTTATTATTCATTTATCCATGCATTCTGAGCCACTTCATCGAACAACCGGGCGGAGTTATTGGAGATCTGCTGTGCAAGTTTCTTTCCAGTGGGTCTTTGGGTTGGATAGCGGCTGCCGCTTCGAGCTTCCTGTTGGTTGTCATAGCATCGGAACGGTACAGCGCCACCTTACACCCGTTGAAAAAGAAGCAAAGTGGTCGATCGTCATGGTGGGTGCCAATTGCATGGGTTTCTGCAATTCTGTTGCTAATGCCCTCTATTGTTGTAACAAGCTACGATTCACAAACTCAACAATGTAAGCAACGCTTTCCAGACAACACAACAGCTCGCGCATACAAAATTACTTGGTCAACCAGCAACTCCCTCCTACCGATGTGTATCATGGGATACCTTTACGCACGAATTATTTGGTGTCTACGCAACCGCACCCTCGTCCCATGCTCCTCTCAAAAAATCGTCACAGAGTCACGAAAGGTTACTAAGATGCTTATTTCAGTGTCGGCCATCTTCATCATGTGTTGGACGCCTCCCGCAGCGCTTTGCGTGCTTAGTCCCTTGATTCGGGGAGGCTACACCACCGTACACTATGTGTCCCAAACAAGTGCACTTCTGAATTCCTGTCTCAATCCGCTGGTATACACACTACATAGTCAGCAGTTCAGGAAGAACCTCGTCTCGTTAATGCCATGCTGCAAAAACAAGCATCTTAATTCTCGCTCAACAGGCAAAGCAACAAACTCTCCTGAAATAAGATTATTAACTTATTAGACAACTAGCTGGTTTGAAACGGATTCCAGCCGAATCTACACTAACAAATTCTCCTTAGTAGGTGGATTTGTTAGGAAAAAACGAGTTCGTTATATCTTGAAGTCTGTTTAAGTGAAATAACAGGAAAAACAACCAAATTACTTTCTATAAATGCACGCCACCTAGAGGAGCCAAAGGATCGTTAGACTGTGTGCGTGAAAATTAATACAACTTAAAAAAAATTGAAATTTAGGGAAATAAGTGTGATAGAGCATGAAGAGTAGAGAAGATAGCTTAATCTTTTAACTCTTAAGATCTGATTGTTAATTCTCTCCTCTGACTGCTACACATTTCTTCGAAAATTATTTACAAGAATTTGGTGTTAGATTAAGATCACAACTTCCGCCTCATAAGTGTGAGTATTCTCATTACCTGTTCGCTGGGTAATATATAGATATTATAGGGAGAAGTTACTTGCTAATCACCTCTGGGAGTTATGGAGTTAAAATTCTATAATTCTTCTGAAATTCTATTATAAACTACCATATACTTATATGTAAGAATAAGGAATTAGAATGCACACGGATCAATGTTAGATTCCCAGGTCAAAGAATCCACTAAAAGTTGTTTTCTTTCTGTAATTCATTGTTATTAGCCCACATCATTTTTCTGCAAGGAGAACGTAACAAACCGACGCAGTTCCATCTCTAGAGAATAACTGTCACGATATTGTAAGAGCTGTTTTTTTTTACGGACCGAAAAAGTTTTCTTCAGCGCCAGAAGAAACACAAAGTAATAGTTTGGTAAGACGTAGAAACATAACTTGCTTGGAGTGAATAACACACAAGGGTACGAGTTTTAGATGGTTTTATTAAGAATTTTATCAACTAAAAATTGAGATGTTCTCCCATGTGTGATGATGATGATGATGATAGTCTTTTGTTACCTTCTACATAGGTGTACACTCAAGTTAAACTACAAACGAATTATATAAAAACTACGTAGAAACTGCATTAACTTGTGTTTAAAAGTCAGTCTATTTACATAGGATGTCATAAATCGTTCGGTATTAACCATGGAGAGGGCACACTGCTTTTTACGCAGATTATATTTAGCCTCCTCAGTAGGTGGCAAATACGCGCCCAGCGGATGGTTATCTACAGAGGTAATAGCCTTTAATATCTTGCAGTCCTGTCTAAATAAAAGATCCTTAATTGAAACAGGAGAAGAAATAAAGCGGTGCTCATGGCAACGATTGAGAAAAGATTGTATAGTTTTCAAATCAGATTGTGACGCTCCATATACAGAAAGGCAGTATGTAGAGTTCGGCATAACTAAGGATTTAAATAAATGGTCTATCTCTACTTGAGAGTATTGCTTCTTTCTAAGAGACCTTGGAAAATGCAAACATCTGTTTGCTTTGACTAATTGCTGTCTAACATTTTCACTGAACTTGCAGTTACTTTGAAGAGTAACACCTAGTAACGACAGACAGTTACACTGTGGAATACTGCAAATCTGCTCATATTGCGTGTTATTGTCCTTTTTCCTAACAATGAGTTCCTTGCATTTGCTAAGGTTACAAATCATATTATTTTCTGTAGTCCACTTTAAAAGAATAGTTCTACTAAACGGTCAGACGGATCAGAAATACTGCTTACAAGAGCTATGATAGTGGAGTCGTCTGCATATTTCAAAAGAGCAGGAACGTCATTATGAAAAACATCTATATCATTAAGAAAAACTTAAAAAAGGTACGAGTCGCTAACACTTCCGTGAGTCGTTCCCTTGTTGAGTACCTTCCAAGTACAAACATGGTTACTAGATGAAACACGCTGTTGTCGTTCATGCAGAAAACTGTGGTACCAGTTAACTATGTAGGGGTTAAGCGGTAGCTGCTTAAGTTTCGCAGTGAGTAAACTGTGATTAACTAAGTCGAATGCTTTGCTAAAGTCCATAGTGAAGATCTGAACTGTCTTACAATCTTGATTGTCCAAATATTTATAAACATGATGTTGAATAGATAATAATGCATTGGTACAGTTACCCCCCTCGCTGTAGGCAAACTGGGTGGGGCTCAGACTTTCCTCACCAGCTTCCCTCGCATGCGTATGATATACAACTTTCTCGAAGGCCCTGGTAATCACAGGTGTGACGTTTATCCCTCTGTAGTCTGAATCCGCTTTAGGAATGCCGACCTTGGGCAGGGGGGCAGGGGATTAATATTCGCCCTCTGCCAGGAAGACGGCCACGAGTGACTTGATAACGATAAACTCCACACACGAGTGGTTACTGGAGTGAGAAGTTCTGCGTGATCTTTTGAAATCTAGAAGGGTATGTTGTCTGGGCCTGTAGCTGTTCTTTTCAACTTAGTGAGCGCATTCCAGACCTGCCTCTCCGTTGTCTCTGGAACTTCCACATCCCCCCTCGATAAGCACATCAGTAGGTCCCACATAACTGTCATCATGGCACAGACGCCCAAAATAGTCATTCAGATGGTCTAGCGAGGCTTGGTCGAGATTAATACCGATTGTCTTTGCACAACGCTGTGGGACTAAGTCGACGTTTCTCCACCGTACCATTCTCGACTACCCATTAAACTCGTGTAGTATGTGGGGTATGTGGTATGTGGTATGTTTCAGTAAGGAAGTTACATCATTTAAGTTTATATAAAGCATTTCCCCAAGGATCTGAGTAAATCGTCTTGCAATACTACCATTAAACGTTTATTTTACGTTTATTTATACCTCTCATTTAGTAAATTATAGAAAAATAAAAACGCTCTAAACAGACTCCAAGCTTGAGGTATGACCTTAGTTTGTCCTATAAATCATGGCTAATCTCAGCCTCGACGTTCTTATAAAAGAGTATTTTATTCAAAGAAGATAAAGGAGTGTATATGTGCACGATCCTTCGCAGTAAAGCACTATTTAAGCAATAGTGAAAATCAGACCTGAAAAAAATTCAGGCCTGTACGGGATTCGAACCACTGACCTCTGCGATACTAGTGCAGCGCTCTACCAATTGAGCTAACAAGCCAACTGGGAGCAGGCCATCAAATTAATTCGACATAAACCCGTAGATGATAAATCAAACAACAAACATATGAAATACATATATATAAACTGCGGTTATGAAACGTATACGTGCACGATCCTTCGCAGTAAAGCACTATTTAAGCAATAGTGAAAATCCGTACAGGCCTGAATTTTTTTCAGGTCTGATTTTCACTATTGCTTRAATAGTGCTTTACTGCGAAGGATCGTGCACATATACGTTTCATAACCGCAGTTCATATATATGTATTTCATATGTTTGTTGTTTGATAAAGGAGTGTGGAAGTGATTTTTTTCTCTTTCAGCTCAGCGTTATGTCTTTCTGCCTACCTCTCCCCAACCCCCTTATAATTATTTTTAGCACCATTTCGCCCAATGCCCTCGCGCTACTCGAACTTTGTTCACGCTTAAACGGAAACCGAAAGAACAGTTATGCAAACACTTCCTGTCTTCGTTTGATGCGTGAGTGTTTTGATTGAAACGCTGAGAACCTTAATCATTTATAACTGCAACGCTGTGGAAAACGTCGTTTATAAACTAGATATATTTATTTTGATAAGAATTTCGCGAATGGCTGGATGTGTTTACCGTTCTTAAGGACGCCAGACCTCAACCTCAGCATAAATTGTGTGAACAGCATCGAGTTCCATATGGAGACGTACATTATTGGCCTTCGGGGTTCCCATTCTAGCACTTCTCACATTATGATAATTCCATGTTATCCTTTTTACGGGGACGGCAAGGGCCTAGGTCTGCTCAAAATTTGAGAATGCGCGTGCTAAGCTACTGTTCTGTTTATAAAATCTTTCTTTCACCGCGTCCTCGTTACCGTTGCCGTTGTGGTTTGCGTTACACTGATGATGACTGCTCAAGAGAGTTGTCGAATTCTAATTGTTCTTCTCATTTTTCTTATTGCTCGACCTCACGTAAACTAAGAACAACAATCTCATCAAGCATATTTTTCTCGGGGAATCGCTATTTTATTTGCCACTTCTGCAATATACATCTGTGGTTTCTAGGCCCTGTGGGTAAGAGTAAAAAAACACTATAACGTCCTGTTTTTAAAGGAACTATAGAAACCGGAAGCACAATTTTGAAGACAATAACGACGACAACTTAAGTCGAATTCCGTTTTCTAATTGACATAGGAGGCTCGAATTCCTCATTACAGGAAAATTGGTGGATAAATTTATAACAGCAAAAGTAATATATACGATATTGAAATACATTTGAGATTCTCATGTTTCTTTGTTACAATCGGTCATTGTTACTTGGTCGGGTGCTGCTTGAGGTTGAATGACCGAATGGGATAGGGGACTAAGTCGAGTTTCCGGTGTTTACCGCTGACCATTCGCGGTTCAGTGAAATGTGAACTGCTATCAAAAAGTTGGCAGTAAATCATCAATGTATGGGCGATTACTTTGCTAGAGAACGGAGAAATTTGGCGCTTTAATTCACCATCAATTACAGAAAGCCAAGGCCTTGGTCTATGATTGAGGTGAGTCGAATGCTGTTTCACTGCGTCGGGTTGTTCAACAAAAATATGTTACACTTACTGTAGCTGTAGCGTGTAGGGGGCAACCGACATGCGATGATATAACATTCCATATGCAGACAGCAGAATTAATAATTTGACCTTTCATGACCACAAGCTTTTCTGCGTCAAAACTGATGATTAATCTTTGGTGTTTAGAAGCTTTCTGTGGCTGTATGTGTGCAAAGATTACCTCTTGAATGAAACGGAAAGCCGGCGTGTACTCCGCGTACAGATCGCGCGTGTGCGTGTCGCTACACGAGAGATTCCAGGCGGCGTTTCTAATAATTTGCCTGCGGATTTTTTCAGATATGGAGGGCGATGGGGACTTGATGAAAATGCTAATGCGCGCTGACCCTCCAGACGAAAGTATTCAAGGGCCCATGGATGAGTCAGCCCTGGTTCAATCTGGGGTAAGATGTGAATTGTTTGTTGATTTTGCGGCACCAGTCATTTTCGCATGCTTGTTACACGCGCATGTCCGAGTGTGCGGAATAATAAGATCTTTGAGGGTCTGAAACAGATGCAACCATCACTTATCCTTTGTTTGTATGCGAACAGGGAGTTGTTACTTCCTTGACTGACGCAGTTTCTGTTTTGCGTTTTAACAATAGGCGCTTGCTTGTCCTCACAAGTACTTTCGCGTCCCCTCTCCAGTACTTTCGCCAGATTTAGTTTATCGTGACACGATTTTGAAATCGATAATAAATGGAACTTCTGTCAAAGGAAACTCAACAGGTTGTAGGGTAAATAAACTGGATGAATTTGTAACGATGCTATAAGTGTTTGTTCCGTTCTAGTAAACATTTCGTATCGGCTTGTGAACTATAAACCTTCATGTTCTGTTTCGTCTTTTAATCTTACCAGTATTGTAAGTTCTAGTCTCGTAGCCAAACTATAAATTCTCCTTTCTCTAACTTCTTCTTCTAGATATTGTACATTGGAGAATTTGATCTGTTATATGCAATAGCTACAGTTAACCTTTCATTTTATTACCACAATAATTTCTTGATATTTAAAAATAAATGTGAAACAAGGGTAACAATTCAAAGTGATTATTTTGAGAGTAAACATACGTACATACATACATGGTTTATTTGGTAACGCAGGTTAGTTACTGGCAGCATTAAGCTGATGTGGACCTGGGATAAATCTAACTTGTATCCAATTAAAGTAATTACAAAAACAGTAGAAAAATCCTAGCATAAATTAAAATATAAGTAGTGATTCAAACTGGTTTATAATCCTAGCATAAATTTCAATTCAGGTAGTAAGATAAAATTCCTAAAAATATTTATAATATAATGCACAATATCATGCACAAAACTTTCTCCCTGTTTTCTCATTGCCATTGTTATTTCTCCAATGTACTAGTTCACCAATGTGTATTTTACGGAGAACTGAGGTCAATTTGCTGTTGTGTTATCACCAGTTTGCTGACTAAAAATAGAACATTGTGTAATGACAAACAAACTTAATTTTCCTGTCTTTTAAGTTACAATTCCTTATTTTGTTAAAAAAAGGAGGAATTTGAGCATCAGTGCAGCAAATCAAACTATTTGTTCATGCGAAGAGTCAGTCACTGATGCTCTCTTTCATATGCTTGTTGCAAGTTGGTTTTTCAGACAATTTTGTGCAGTTATTAAACCCAGTGTAATCACAGACTTACAGCAATCAGTTTTAAAGGGTGTAAACAAAACTGCTACCAGACAAAATGAGTCTTAGTTTCCACTGATCACTATGTGCTATGGTTGACTATAAACAGTTAAAAAAGATATTTAAACTCAAGTAAAATCATAGAGTTAAAGAAAAAGTCTTAAGGGAATTTTGTGTACATTAAGTTTGTAAAGTGGTCATAACATTGGCAAATCAACTCAAGTTTTTGGTGATATGGAAGTTGGCAAGTTGGCATGTCAGCCAAACCATCGTAAACAATTTCATTGAGCTTCACCAGTACACTTCTTGCTTATTTACCTATTAGGCAGTGTACATGTTTTAGAAAAACAGTCATGATGCTAGTGAAACAGCCATTTCATTTGTTTTAGGATTAGTGTGCTTATAGGTATCAGGTTATCTATGTATGGAGAAAGTTTGGAAGATGATCAATGGAGAGTTTGCTCCTTTGAGTTAATGAAAATGCTGACAAACAGCTTACACCAGCCACGCAGTGTCTACTCCTAATGCTATATGGAATGATACCCTTGAGCCATCAAGGAACAATAGTTCTATCTGAAAATAGCTCTTCATGGCAGTATGGTTTTACCTCCAGTCTCAACTTTTGTTCAAGGACTCTCTAAATTTGCAGAAAAATTGGTCTACTAGCTGTAAGAAATTTGTTGAGGAACAATCATATCATACAGCTTCACAAATGATTCACCAGTGGTTGGAACAATTTGCCATTCATAAAAAAAAGTTTCATCTGCTAGGCTTTGTAAGTAACATTTAAGCCCGGCCAGATGTATGTTCAATCAGCCGGTTCAGTGGATTCTGATATTTATTTTCCCAATAGACAAGAGAACATTTCTGAGATCTTAAGTTACTGCATTTCTTAAAAGCAAAGTTTCTTTTTAAACTTTTTGGGAAATTTATGAGAGCCTAAACGTGATTTGCAAGTTGATCCAAAAAATCAAATTTTTGTTTGGAATTAAGACATGGTACAACATGAGTAACCACGGTTTTTGACAAGACAAGGAGAGGAAATTAACCTTTTAACCCCTAAAAGTGACCACCATCCAATTTCTCCCTATAAAGTCACCCGCAAAGCAAAGATTAAGGCCATAAGAATAACAGAAATGATCACTAACTGAAGATGCTCTTTGTTATATAACAAATTTCCCCAATAATATCACAGTTAGGTATAAGGCATTGAAATGGTGTTGATTCTTTGGGGAAATTGTGGTTGTGCAGGAATTGAGAAAGAGAGCACAATATTTCTATGGCAAAGAACAGAAAACATGAGACCAGCTTTGTTGTAACCAGTGGATGTTTTTCTTTTGGATGTTTTTCATTGTCCCTCTTGATTAGCTTGTGTTTGTTTTGCATAGCAATTGTTTTGTGCCTTTTCGTATGGCACATATGTGTTTATCATCAGAAATGTTTTGCTAACAACTGAAGGGACGAAAGGGACATACACCTGTGAGATTAATCATTTAACAGAAGAAGGGAAAAAAATAGAAACTTGGAGTTATTAACTATATACAATGTACTTGCTATGCACTTCATTTTCAATGAAAAAGAGGTCTTACTCAGCAGAGAACAAAGTTAGCAAGTGATGATTTAATATAATCTCTACACAAAAAAGCTTCCTTAAAGTTGTATGCGTTTAATCGTTATGCTATTTAATAATAATAATAATTATTATTATTTAATATTTATATTGTGCAAATTAACATGTGGATATGATCAAATGGGCATCACAACACTTTTCAGGGGACTTTGGCCAGACTGCATCAGCAGTTTACAAAAACAATCGAAGGGAACTTATTTGAAGATGCCCCTTCCCCACCAATTCCCAGTAAACAGGCCAGACCACATCACAGTAATCTCGTGAGTGGGTTCTTTAACTTCCCCTGCCTAACCAAATTAACTAATTCATAGATGCGGGAGACGAGACAAGGATAGGACAGCACTTCAAGCCTCTAAATGAACAGCACATTTTACTTGTCTTAGTGCAGATGCCAACTTCTAATGCTTTAAAGAACCCTAACTTGTTGGCTAGGGATCCAAAACATAAATGATTGCAGTGGGAAACTCATATTTAATGACACTTCTGTTTTAACAAATAGATTCCATGTTGCAATGCATGTGTTCAGAAGTAGATCACAAATGAATTGAAAACATGGAAAGAACAAATAAGTGGTGCATGAGGAACAGCAGAGTGTGTTACTTATGTTCTCAACACACTTTGATGTTATGATCTATGACTAACAGTAACTGTAAGGATGCACAGCAATGTGGAATCTACATGTATTTGTTTTATATGATAACAAAGCAAAAATTTATTTATGGTGATATCATATTTGCACCTGTCCTCCAACAAATCAAAAGTAAGAACCACTCTAAATGTGCATGTAATTCAGCTTATTATATCAATTGTGATAGATCATTTGTCACTATTATGAAGCTCAGTAAATATCAGTGTGACTTTGTGTTGTGACCTTAGATCATGCCATATGATCATGCAGATTGTGAAGTAAGTGACAGCTAAAGAGAAACAATTACATTTGGCTTAAAAAAATGTTCTTTGTCTTACACAACAGTGTAACACAAAGGAACGTTATAGTACTGAATTGAAAGACACTTGTCACAAATTTTTTCGCAGCGCGCACATCAAAATCATATATATGCGTCTTACTGCCCTGCATCTGAGCAAATGAAATACATCTGCACAGTTAAGGTATACCTGAGCAGTACTGTACTTGAAGCTTACCTTGATTAAAAGGCAAATGCTTCTAAGATAACATTTAGAAAGTGCCAGTGAAACAGTTAAATAAAGAGACCATGATTATTCATTACAGGCTGACAATTTTAAGAGATGCGTGATGTAAGATTGTTTTTTTTGGTGATAACTCAAACCCCTCACTGGATTTAGGACTTAGTCCCATGGTGATCCCCAGAACACAGAAACACTGATAAAGGAACATTTGACAGTCAATTATTGATGCTCTGATTGAATTTTACTGGTCTTAAAAATATCAGCAACAATAACAACAAAACACCAGGCTTTTCAACTCTTCCATTTCTATGTAATTTATTCATTTCAAATTGCAAATTAAAATAAGAAATAGTTTGCTTCTGTAGTCGACATCGCTTAAAAGTATATAAGGTTGCACAGTATTGCTAGTGTAGCAATGATCAAAAGTACTGGAATGAAGAAAAAGTTCTGGTTGAGTTCAAATTTTAACAAAGATGTCTTATTTTTTTGGGGGGGGGGTGTGAGGGCATGTTTGTTTATCTGAGATTGAGGGAAAAATCTCCTTTCTTCAAAATGTTTCAAAATATGTTTGTTTGTTGATAGGGATATCCCCAGACTGGTATGGCATTTGGGTCTGGCAGCTATGCAGGCATGCAGCAGCAGTTTACTGGAATAAGTTCCCGGCAGCAACAACAGCAACAGTGTAATTCTGGTTACCCACCGATGAATCCAGGCCAAATGATTCCAAGAAGTCCAAACAATGGCATGATGCAGCCAGATATGGACTTGATGCTTCAACAGCAGCAGTATCAGCAGCAGCAGCAGCAGCAGCAGCAACCTCCGCAGTCTGCATATGGAAGTGGAAACTATCAAGGATACAATGGAGGTTACCAAGGTGCTAGGACTGTGTCTCCTCAAACTCATTCCCAAGCCATGAGTCCTTACCAGGGAGGTTTTCCTCCAGATTCTGGTTATGCTCCTGGTGGTGTCAGTGGACAGTCCATGGGGGAATTTGGACCTCAGGCTGGCCCCACTCAGCCCATGGGAATGCCTGGACCAGCTTCCTTGAGCCTAGCTGCCATGAGCAACAGGCAACAGTATTATGCAGATGGCTATGGAATGAGCCAGCCAGTGTCTCCCGTGCAGAAGCAGATGCCACAAGGAGGAGGATTTCTGCAGCCTTCAGGAATGCCATATTCTCAGCAGGTTCCATATCAGCCCAGTCCATATCCTAAGAGGCCATCCTCATCACCGGTGCCATCTCAAATGCATGGGTTTAGTTCTGCTGGCTCCTCCTACACCCCCAGATCAACCACAGGGATGCAGCTACCTAACATGCCGTATACGTCTTCTACAAACCCATACCAACCACCCTGCTCCCCTGGACGAAGATCCTCTTCAACATCACCAGTCCCACAGCAAGATGTAGGGATGTACAACAGGCCTCAAGAACACTTTCCACAGCCCAGGTCTCCGTTTGGGACGAGTCAAGGGCATTTCCAGCAGCAGCAGCAGCAACAAACGACGCATAGTTCGTGTATGTTTGTTCAACCCAGCATTACACCCTCACAGTCCCATTACCAGTCACAGCAGCTAATGACTGCCAGCAAGGCAGGAGGCTTAACACAACGCCGTGCATCTTATCCAGGACATCAAAACGCTGTGAAAATGCCTTCTCCTCCACCAAAGAGATCCCCTCCAACCAAGGTGTCCTCTCCAAGTGCCACAAGTCCAGATCTCACTAGGGTTGGCCAACTTGGATTTGAAGAGAGAAGCTCTCTGAAACCTTTTACCGCAAAGGAGAAGGTATCGTCTCCACCAAGCAGTGATCCAAGTTCAGTGACTTCAGAACCAACGATTACCGTCTCTAACGCTGTACAGTGCTCATTCAAGAAGAAGTCAACGTCTGCAAAAAAACGAAGTGAAATCCTCAAAGCAAATCCTCGACAACGACGAAGCGCCTCAGATGCTACAAGTCCCTGTGTTTCACCTCCAATTGTAAAAAAAGAGCCACTGTGTCCAGACGGACACAAGAATGAAGCTGAAGAAACCATTGAAAAGGAAGGGTCTGATAAGACTGATACGAAGTTTAAAGAAATCGATGTCAACGAATCCAGTGAGAGCAAGTCGGTGTCACGACAGGAGCATGGCCAAGCGAACAAAAGTTTACAGAGTTTATGGGACAGTAAGGAAGAATCGTCGTGTGATTTTGACAAAAAGGTAGGAAACGAATGCAAAGGCGATGAAATAAAGGCAGAGGAAGAAGCCACGGTAAAAACGACTTCCGTTGCTCCACGATCAATTGATAAATCTGAAACGGAACATAAAGAGGTAGAACATAGTGCAACGAGCTTTACTGAGTCAGAAAGCTGTGCCAGAAGTCCAGTGAAGGAGGTAGGGAAAGAGGAAACTTCCCACGAGAACCCGAAATTCAGCAATGATGATAAAGAAGAGACGTGCACGGAACGGAAGGAGCCCTCTGAGGGAAAAAATGTTGATTGTAAAAAGGAATCAAACAGAGAAGTGGAAAAAACGGGTACTGATAACGAAGAACTTTCGGTCACTCCCATGACAGATTCCAAAATTGGTGATACGAGTGGAACCTCTGACGAAACTAATGAAGCAGACGACCAAACACGAGCAACTGGTCTCGAAGCAGACAAAACCAGTGAGAGGTGTCGAAAATTAGACGACCAATCTAAGGGAAACGGGAAAACCAGCCGAACCAATGATGACGAGACTGGAAAAGTGAGTTCCAGTGAAGGTACCGCCATTGCGTGCAAAACAAAAAAGACTGGGTCTGGTGTGGATGACGCTTGCGCTGAGGGCGTTGATGAGGAGGAGAGAACTGAGATTAAAGAGAAAGTTAGTACTTCGGCTAAGAAGTCTGAAGTAGGCGGAGAGGTGAAAGAAATTGAAAGTGAAGAGACTCGAATAACTAAGAAACCCGAAGCCTACGGCAAAACAGATAAACCTCAGGTGGTCAGCGAGAAGTCCAGTGGAGCGGCCGAGAAATCGCTCTCCAATGAAAACGTCGGTGGTACTCAAGATGCCAAAGTCCACAGTAAAAAGGACCGTCAAGCCATTCCTTCCCTAAGATGCGAAGAGCGGCTCTCTTCAGATGACGATGATCGCCTTCACGAAAAGACTCCAGCGGATGAAAAAACTCAGGAGGAGTCAGACAGCGAGGGTGGGCATGTAGTTGAAAGCAGAACTCTGGGAATTCAGACAGTACAGCAGCATACCACTACAACACGCACCACCCAGCACCAGGCAACTCCCATCAAGGCTACCATCATTGCTAAGGGTACTTCCTCCCAGAACAATCAACAGGTGATGGTTGCCAAGACGACTAATGGTAAGATGTACCTCATTCAAGGGAACATCTTGATGCCGGTTCAAAAGCTCAGCACCGATTCATCCAAACAGAATCCACAGGTGATAATTGTAAACCCAGTTACGTCAGGCTCTGGAAGTAATCCGGCAACCAAAGGAGGTAACGCTACCGATGTAACCACAAGCAGGAATGATGGCAAAACTGGAAATTGCCAGAGCAATTCAAGGAACAAGGCCTCAAACGTTTCAGACAAAGCAATTTCTGGAACTGCAACCATGCCTGATACGGAAAAGTGTGATCAGAGCATTAAAAATCCAGAACGGTCACCCAAAACTAAAACTCCTGTGAAGAAAGACAAATCACCAAACTCTGAAACGACTAAAAATTCACCCACTCGGCCTGATAAAGCCCGTAAAACTGGGGAAAAGGATAACCAAACTGACAAGACGGAATCTCCCCGCCCGAAAAACAATCCACATTCGACAAATTCGAACAAAACAGCAGAAACGTCCACTACCAATCAAGCCTCCTCGGTGGAAGGAAATAGACAGCTAGTGCAAAACAGAACGCGTGGACGGCCAGTGGGAAGTAAAGATAAGCAAAAGCGAAAACCTTACGTACATAAAGTAAAGCGGAAGCAGGAGGACATGGAGGTTGAAGAACAGAACACGTCAGAGCCTGTCGCTAAACGTAAATTCTCAAAAACTGCTATCGCTGTTCAAGAAATGTCTTCGGCTTCTGGACCGCCCGTAGCTTGCGCAAAACGGCTAGTAGAGGCTCCAACAGTTAGTGTTGGTAGACCCTCGAAAAAACGCAAAGTATCCAATTCCAGCTCGTCCGTAAAGCACGTCATGTCGACCAAACCGCGCGGCGGTGTCGATGGTGATACATGGGTTTGCTCTTTCTGTGGCAGACAAAGCGGTTTTAACTTGCTAGGAGATCTTTACGGACCATATAAAACGAAATTTTCCAAGGAAAAATCGATGGATGGTTCCTCTAAGGAGGGCAAACTGTCGCAGAAAATGTCTTCGCCAAGCCGGAGGGCAAGTTCGAGTTCTGACATACAAACAGATAGCGAAAGTTACGATGTGGACTTGTGGATTCATCGAGATTGTGGTGTGTGGTCCCCTGGGGTTTTTATGATCGGAAGGACCGTTCATGGATTGGAACAAGCTGTAGAAAGTGCAGCGCAGCATGTAAGTCACTCACTTAACCCTTCAACTAATAATCCCCCAGTTGATAGTTTTCTCTATTCTCATCACTTGTCTGCTTGACATTGTATTGCCATTGTAAGGAGAAAGTCTGTCTTGGTCACTCATGGGGGGTGGGGGGGTAAAAGAAGGTTGACCTTTCAACTCCTTATCTCAATATTAATTGTCCCCTCTGTCTGTCATACTTTTGTAATAATTACAGCTGTGAGAATTTGTAGTTAAATCGAACGATATCCCCTGCTGGATGTTTCTCTCTCTCTCTCTCTCTCTCTCTCTCTCTCTCTCTCTCTCTCTCTCTCTCTCTTTTCACCACTTCGCTGCTTAACAACCTAATGATTTGATACGGAGAAATTATTTTTTGGTCACTCCCAGGAATCGAATGGTTAGGAAAATGTTTTTAAAGCCACGTTGACGCGAACGGCCAACAGCAAAAATTGAACCTGAAGATGTTTGTTCATTAACTGGAAAATGTTTTTGTCGTGAACCAGAGATAGCGGTTGGTTCTGTTTAAAGTTAACAAGCAAATCAAATCTAAGAAATGTGCAAGGAGATAAAAGAAGGGAAGATGTTGTCGATGTTTTTGTTTTCATTTTGTTTCCACAGAAATGCACCAAATGTTTTGAACTTGGCGCCACCTTGGCCTGCTTCAAACGGGGATGCAATAAGATCTTCCATTACGCATGCGCAAGAGATTCAGGTGCTTGTTGACCGTCTTGTAGCTAACATCAACTCATCATACAGTTGTGTTTTTCTCAATTGGGGCAAGAGTTTATTACCACAGCCAATCATAGCTTGAGTCATGACACAATATCCTGCCGAGGGTCGTAAGACTGAAACCAAAGTATTTAAAACAATCAATCAGAATAAGAGAAAGTTTCCAAAGGTGCCAATGAAAACTCAAAGAAATTACCTGCAAACCGTCTGAGGGAAAGAACGCGAGTGGTCGCGTATTGGTTGGTTGTAGTCTGGCTTCTGATTGGGTTAGAAAGTGGCGCGAGTTTGGGGGACCAATCGCTGAGTGTATTCAAGCAAACCAATCTAATCCTCGATTACTTAATTCAAAAACTGCACCAAGGATGCAATGAAAACTCAAATTAAAGTATCTGTTTGGTTTTTGAGAGTTGCACGAGTATTTTATACCAATCACAGGCAAAGTAACTCGAACTGCTGTCCCGGATTACTTTTGACACTATTTCAAATCATTACAAAATTATGGTAGCCAGCCACTATTGACTGCTATCTCGCTATTGCAGTCATTGTTTCAGGGATACCATGATCTCTCTCTCAGATTTTTTTTATAATTTTCCAGGTAGTTCCTTCGTCGAGGACAATTTTACGATATTCTGCTCAATACACAAGGTAACTTTAAAAAAATTGCCGTTTGATGTTCAGTTATAACTCCATGAAATATCAATTGAACCAAGATGTCCGTTTTTTGTTTTTCAGTAACGTTAGCCCCTTCCATCGATGCTTTGCGAAACATAATACTGTCCCGTACGTTGTGTATGCAGTGAACTGAATGCAGAGTAATAGTTGCACATGCGCCGGAAAAGGAATTGAATGAAAGCAAATTGATTTTCGTACAGACAATTGACAGTATTGGAGGACATTAAGTCCAGGAGAGGAGGCGTTTTGCTGAAGTTCAATTTAAAGGATAACTTCTAATATTATATTAGATACATTACTTAAGTTGCTTTTTGGTCAAATTCTAATGCAAATTTCTTAATGAGGTTGAGTTATTTTTTGGAGGCCGGAGGCTAATTTAGTAAAATTATAATGGATGTGAATACCTACCTCAAAATGAAAACGTTGTGTACATCAGACATAATCCGGTTCATTGGGAAGAAAGAGGATTTGATTAATAAAAATTTGATTGCATGGATGCGAGATTTGAGAACTGGTTGTGAACCTCTATGATGACCTGTTTTTATGTAGCATTGAGTTTAAGAACCCACAATTTTGCGCCAAACTTACTGAGGCCAATTTTGAGCTTTGAACTCTCCAATGCCATTAACACCCAGCTCTCTCTGAAAGGCCTTACGTACTCTCGTCTTTCCCTTATCCATTGTTGTCAGTACTGAGGGTATGATATATTGTATTCAAAAGGGCGCTAAGATTTAAAGCGACAAACTTCTTGGCAAACATGGCAATGTCGATTGAAGGGTGAAGGATTAGAGACCAACAAAAATTTCCTAAAGTGGTCATGCATAGAAATAATGTTCCAGTAGTTTTATCCAAGAGGTCAGTTTGTAAAATATGTACGACGTGCCCTAAGCTCGTTCCCGGGATCCTTTTTTAACCCTTTCGTGAATAGTTACAAACCCTGAATGGAAAGGTATCAGGAAATATTATTTTATTCAAAAGAGCGTTGAGAATCGAAGCGACGAACAACCTGGACGGCATACCATGACTTAGGATAAATAACAATTAAAATATATAAAATATAACAAGCATGTAAAGTCCAAGGCATAGGTATGGCTTTAAAACCTAAGGGTAATGCGGGCACATGTGAAAGGGTTTACATTGTAGAGTATGTAGAATACACCTTATAAGTCACATCACACTACTAATAGGATAAAAGTGGTTACAAACTCTACACTCCTGAAGTTAAAAAATGGGAGAAACTGCAAACCACATGAGTTTCTAGGAATCGACAAATGTAGCAAAAATATGTTCTCATAAAAATTCTAGTTCTAGCTAGCGAGTACGCTGGTTAGTAGATACAGTTTTCATCACTTTACAAAGCTGAGTAAAATAGTATCTGATGTTGAACTCGATAAAAAGTAAAACAGGCTTCCGAACTAAGTCCTGCCAAATCTTAGAGGGACAGGGACAGTCGTCATTGGGTCTTCCCGCCGCCCACGTTTGGGATGTCATGCAACAACGTTCCTTGTGCGTGACATGACAACGTGAAGTGGTATCTCTATAATTGCGGGATTGCTAGCAACTTGAAGCGGTGATCTTCATCGCCACATGAATATCAGACTTGGCCACCAAGAAAGATAAACGTTTTCCTGCTTCACGGATTTGCTGCATGGCACTGAAAAGGAAACAAATGACCACTTTGACACGGGTTACCATGTTTGCATGGGTTCGATTTTGAGAACCCCCAAAAATTGTCATGTACCATTATAATAAATTTAGTATCACTCAAATCTAGGTCCCTACCTTTGATAATCGGCCCCAACAAGACTGGTTCCATTTACAGCAAGGATACGATCACCAAGACGAAGCCGACCATCCTACACAAACAAAATGAAGATTACCACCAGCGCCCTTAGAACAACCCCCAACTCTCGTAAGCTAATCTCCGTCTTTAACTTCAAGTCTGTAATAAGCGTCTCTCTCACAGCCCCCCCCTGCTCTGATAAATCCCCCGCCTTCAGGCCCTAGAAATAAGTGATAATGGAGGGGGAGAGAAAGAGAGAGAGAGAAAGAAGCTAACAAAAGTGTTTACGGAACTTCAACATGATGGTATTGAATAGATAGCGAGGATGCCCTTTGACTACTACTTCTGTGTCGCAAATTCCGACCATTGTATTGCATCCGTCATCAGAAATAAATACTATGAGAGTGGGTGTCTTTTTATCTTGGATACGCAAGACTACAGGAACATCCTAATTTCACTGACCTTTATAGCTGGTCCACCAGCCACTAGGGTCCGCACATAAATCCCGGGGGACCGTAATGGTGTGTACTACAAATGAGAATGAATGATTAATGTCTTACGTACCACATGAAAATTACATATCAACATGTATAAGCGGTTTACAAGCGCAGGAAGGTACAGGCAATGGCTTACAACCTTATGACCGGTGCCAATCCCAGATGAATCGTAAGAGTATTGTTACATCGGTTTAGTGCCAAAATCATAGTACCTACCCCTCCCCTCAAAACCAACATTCACCCTGTCGTTAGATTTGTGGAGGGGTAGGAACGCAGTTCTTTACGTACTGAAATTGATCCCTTCCTTCTCTTTGATAAGATGTTAGTCCTTGGCAGACAACCCTTAAAAAAATCGTCCAGTTTTAGTGACAATTGCACCGACTTTTATATTCTTTGATGCAGAAGGCACTGTGAGCGTAATGTGTGGTGTTCAAGAACCCAATACAATGATTCGCCTTGGAGTCGAACCCAGACCACTCGATCGGAAGTCGACCGCGCGAGACACTACATCACTTAACCCTCCATAACCGTTAGTAAACGCGTTATCAAACATAGAGAAAGACGGAAAGCGGTAGAACGTTATGCTATTGACGCGATTAAAAGTCTTGTATTCTTCGGAGCGGGCGTAAAACTAAATGGACTGCAAACACAAACACAACAAAACAACAGGCCCTCACCAGCCCGTCAATGAGTCCCAAGCCTATCCCTTCGTCCCCTTTCTCCAGCTCTACAATAAACACGTCATCCTGTCGATCATCTGTTTCCCTCATTCCCTCTAGTTTAGCTGGTGATCCACTTCTACCTCCAGGTACTTCTCCTCCAAGATCAACATCGGATTCATTTCTCAAACGGCTCAAAAGCTTCGCCTTTTGTAGCGCTCGTCTCTCGTCGAATTCCTTAGAAGTTTCTACCGTTGGATCTATGGCTATCTGTAAGGCCAGTTCTTCGTTAGTTTCCGAGTCGTCCACTGGAAGTACTGACAGTCCGTCTGCATTGTTCACGGCATCACGTGTCACGGGACCTGTAACTTCAACCCACTTGGAGTTGTCGTTCGTAGAAGGCGAAGCTGCTCTTCTCTCCGGCACAACTGCCATATTTTGATTTTCATCCTTAACTCCAACCAGGGGTACGTCTAAGAGACAGAAAAAAAAATTATATAGCAAATGGTCTGGTCTCGGGGGATGGTAACAATGGATCGTGTGTTCTGATCGTGTGTTCTGATGGCCAGTGACTTCTGTCACTGACGGAGGCTGATTTTTCGCTAACCTGACCGTAAGAGATCATGAAGGTAATATGAAGATTCTGAATCTGGCTCTGCATTATTATGACGTTTACTTCCGCTTAGGTTTTCGAGACGTCAGTATTTGACAACGCCAAAAATCAGATGGATTATTGCTTTAACAACCTGAAGCCGTAGGGTCTTTACTCTCCAGTGTTCTGACAGACATCGCAGAAGGCTCCTCATTGGGTAGCCCCGCGGAATCACGTCCTTCTAGAAGACTAACTGGAAAATTGGATCTGGATGCAGTCTTTTGGCCTGAAACTAATCTGGAAAGGGGACGCTTTCCGCCATTGGTAAATTCGGAGTTCACTGACGGATCTGAGGCGTTTGGTTTACTTAGCGAAGCATCCTTATCTCTTCTTGGTGGAGTCTCTCTTCTTTCAACGGAGACGACGGATCTTTTGTCTTTAAGAACACTCGTTTCGTCCTCTGAAAAGAAAATTATCAAACAGGTGAAGCGTACGGTTACCTTCAAATCTTTTATTTTACTTTCCAAAACTGGACAAACCAACTCCTGAGAAGCAGTGGTTACATTATTTTCGTACTTTCACACCCCTCAGGTTTGGCATATTTTTCTTTGTTCCTCGTTCGTGACAAATTAGTATCATCTTTCTTTGTGGAGTAACTTTTCTCTGGAGCAGCTGTGTTTTTTGTTTTTTATCGTTGTACTGGTTTAGGTTGCTTTTTTCAGCTTTCGTGCGGGAAGAGCTCATGACAAAAGTCTTCCAATTACGGTTTTGAATTCTGGCACAACCGATGAACACTTCAGCTATCTATGAGCACATAATTCTACAGAATCCTGATTCAATATTACCATTGGTTTCATACCTTTCTGGGATGGAGTTGAATCAGACATGACCGTCTCGAATGAGAATTCTTTCTTGTCCTTTGAGGGTGAGGCTGGGGAGACTACCAAATCAGGCACGTGATCTTGACCATGCGATAGTGACGAAGTACGAATCACATCTGAATGAAGCACTTCCGGTTCCGGTTGTTGAACTCTTAGATAAGAATTCAAAAGTTAGCTTTAAGTTTACTCTGTGATCGATCTAAAATAAAATCCTCAGGATATTGTATTGAAATTATGAGATGGAATTACAAGGGAATCACTTAACCAACCTATTTATTCCGTTCATTCTTGCCGTTCCTGCTCCATTTTTACCAAGACCTTCCAAAGAGAAAAAAATTAATGTAAGTCACAAAGAAATCCGAAATTGTTGTCTTTTCTTCACAGCTCAACCTATGAGCAGTTATAACCTTAAAAAAAATTCAGAGTTTACAATCATTACCTGGATTCATTGCTTGTTTAATTGTATCTAAGTAGTAGTAGAAGGACTGATCCGTCGGTCCATTATCAAAGTCCAGTACAAATCTTTCAGTCGGGAGTTTCAACGGTGGATGTTCGGAGAAGTTCAATAAAATGTCCGCTGAGGAAAACAAGAATATAACAAAGCTACGGACAAATTCGTATACCCAGCATCCCTTTCCTTCGCTCGTAAAACACTTGGACTACCTTTCAAACAGGATTCATGTTTGCGAACTGTTAGTTACACTACGGCTGCGGTTTGGCCCTTTACCGGCCAAGAACTGATACGTAATTCCCCCATCAACTGTTAAACACTTATCTGTAAATCGGCTCCGAGAATATTAAAAAAAAAAGCCCAGCTTACAAGTGAGTCGTTTCTCATAACCGGTTTTTTTGGATAATGCTCATAATTGTGCGGAGAACTTGCCATGGCTTACCTGTGCGGAGTGCAGGTTCCACTTCCTCTGGAGGAGGGAACCAGCCTCTTGGTCGAGACTTGCCTGGACCGAGTTGGTATTCACTCAGAATTTGCTGTACTTGGGCCGGGTTGAGTGCTGGAAAATCTCTTCTAATTGTCACCCAGTCAGCCTACACATGAAATGACTTACTCGTTAGTAACAAAACGCCACAGATATTACGTGTAGATGCCTTAGATTTTACGAGTAGTTCGACAACGACTAGTAACAATGCGAATCTGCTAACTGTAGTTGGCTACGAGCATTTGAAACGTGAGGCAGTAAATTAGGCGCTCACATGCTAAAAGGAAGGGAGCTAACCTGTAGGAGCTGAACTTTGGGCGTGGCTAATAAATCAGCCGCAGTGGACAGTCTGATCAAATACTCATTAGCCTCGTCGTGAAGTTGAACCTGCGCAGCCCAGCTCTCCAACATATCCAGATTGCCCCGTATCTGCGCTCCCTTAGCCCAGCGGTAGAACTTGCCCCCAGCTCCCCGCTCCATCAAGGTGTTGAACAAGGACGCGTTTGTGAAGAAAAACAAATATGCAAAAAGTTGATGAAGTATGTCTTCGTGAACGGAATAAGCCTTCACAATATCGTAAGTGGTCTGGAAGATGCTGATTACGGTTTCCACTTCCTGTGGTCTCTTGTCACTGTCTTCGTCTGTGTCTTGGAATGGATTTGTGTCCAAGATCGCCGGAAGAGCGATATACAAAACCTGATAGAAATACAGGTGAATTGTCAGAAATCCTTCTAACTGTTCCAAACAAAGCATTAAAAGGAGTCCATTGGTGTGATGGACTTCTGGCATACAAAAAACAAACAAAGAAACAAAAAACAAAAAAGATCCTAAGGAATCTTTTAAGGGTATTGAGGGAGTAAAACAGTACCTTAAAATGGGATTTTTAAATCAAGTTTACTTGATACCCTGGTATTAAGGCAACAATTAAATAGTGTGTGAGATACGAATTAAAACAACCCCTTCCCTCATTCCCCATTGGCTTCAAAAGCCTCATGTAAGAACAATGATATAATGAGCTGACTTATACATGCCTTTTGATTAGTTTTTACTTCTGATCTCTTGGAAGACAAACACATGGATGTCATCACTATCAACAACATTTACTTTTTTATCATATAAAACAAACAGATCCCATGTTGTCGAGGGCCTGTACAGTATTAGATTACAGAAGATGTCCAAATGTGATAAGAACATCTGCGTGGCCATTGTGTTTGCTCTTACCACATTTTTTACATCAGCTGTGATCTATAATTGTACAGACAAAATAAATGCTGCTAAACATACCTTTGTAAGATGGTAGACAGTCTGTTGAAAAGTGTAAATGATAACTTCTTCAAGAAACATAAGCAGTTCTTCATCTGCATTGAACAAACTGTCATCACTGCTCTCAGCCATTTGAGATGGGTCTTTGATGTAACAAGACATGTGGCATTGCAGGTAAGGCAACATTTCCAGACAATTGGCCATCCAAAACACCACTGGTCGTAGCTGAGGAAGAAGCTCTTCTAAGGCTTTTTCTGGAACTGATGTTCTGTAAAAAACAAAGCGAATCAAAAATAAAACCAAACCAAGATCTACATCACATTGATTTGAAATACAAGCGGGAAAGTTTTGAGAAGAGAGGAAAATATCAACCAGGAGATATTTTTTGATTGACAGTATACTTCTGGAGCTAAATTTCAAAGAAATGTATGATGGACAGAGCAGAAAAATTAACAGTCAGATCTTGGGAGCAATTGACTGCCTTAACTCCCCAAAATGATCAAAATGTAACTTTTTCCCGTGATATCCAAAGATTAGCCAGCAAACAGGTAAAGGGAATACTCAAACTTATCAAGCAGGTGTTATCTTGATTTACCTCTGAATTCTCCTCAGTTATTAATAAGGAAATGTGTGGCTGCTAGAGGGAGAAATTGAGAATCAGATCTTAGGAGTTCATGGGCTGAACAAAGTAAGTCATGATTTATACATCTCAAGACATTAAGACTACTTTTCATTTCATTATTTTTTGCTTTCAATCCATGGCTATCTTCTCCATCCTTAGCTATCCTCATTCCTTTTAGTCATATTCTTTTCTTTTCCTTTTTTCCCATTCCAAACTACATTTCCTTTTCTCTTACCTGTCTATTGTCTTTGACATTTCTGCAGTTTTTTCCTAAGTAAGAAGAGGGAAAGATGGATCCATGAATTAACATTCATGAAAGAAAAGTTCACAAATCAACATTTTTGACAATTAAAACTACTTTTAATAATAATAGCAATTGTGATGATGATAATATTAATGATATTATTAATATCAGAGAAAATAATTAGTAATCATAATAATATTGCATGATAATGTTGTGGTTCAAATTTTTCTTGGTGTGAAAATTGTTTCAAGTTTAAATGAAAGTTTGAGTGAAACTGTGTTTTGTGTTGCTGTCAATTATTTTTAATTAATGACCTCTAATTTAGAGAGTCAAATGGCCCAATCATGTTCCTGTCTTGTACTTTAAGGGTTTCGATAAATTGCATTTGTGTTTTTATCATTAGTGGCTTGAAACAAAATCTTGGTTTGGTGTTGAATCTCAGCGTTGGCATGTACAGTAATTGAAAAGTGCAGAATTAAAATGTCAAGCAGGTTTGGGGTGATGATGTACAAAACTATCAATTACAGGAATTGGTCATGATATAGTAATTATCTCAGGGCAAATCCAGTAATTATTATGAGATTGCATATCAGAAAAAAAGAAAAAAAATGTTAAACTCACTGAAGCAACTGTCTGGATTCCATTTGATATCTTGACAAGAAGCTGTCTGGTTTGTAGCTCAGTGTGATATCTTGCAGAGTGTTCGATGCACAAGATCAACAAATAGGCAGGGGATAATTTGTAACCATCTCCTGATAAATCTACAATGCTCATTACCATATCAAGCAGGTAATCTTCATCTTGAACAGAATAAGACAACCATAAACCATTCTGTGCCTCATCAGGAATGTCGATACCATCTTCGGCATTTGAAATATTAAAAGCATCACTGTCATGAATATTTTGTGAATCAGTTGTATGTTCTGGATTCCCAGGTGTTTTCATCTTGTGAAGTTGTTTCAAATCATTAACCCAGGATAATTTCAAGGAACTATCTGCAACTTGAGAAGGATCTTTGAATAAGAAACAATAATGTTTTCCAAAAGAAACTAAGTCTCCAGGTATCAGTTTTGTAGATGATAAGACAGTTGCACCATTTATGCACACATCAGCACCTCTGGAGGGTTCTAAATAAACTGCAAAATTCAAATCATTGTATTCTTGTTCTAAATCTGTACTTGAAGTTTCCACTCTTTTAATCAAAGTGCAATGTTGAGGTAAAATATCTGGTGCAAATAGAATCACATCAGGAGACTGGTTACCAGGTTGATGCACAGGACAACCAACCACAGATAACTGTTCATCTAACCTGTGGTATAAATAGTCATCAGGGCTACTACAGCCTTTAAGAAGGAGAAGGTGTGGTGTGTCTGTGGGTGCAATAAATGGTGATGCAATTAAAGATGCTCGTCCAGAACTACCCCCCTCTTCAACACCAACACTTGACAGCTGGTCTTCACTCGATGAAATGTGTGATGCATCACTTTGTCCTGTGTCACGACGGATTTCCTTTACACTAGTAGGTACATGGGCTTCACGCATGGATGCAGCTTTCATAATTGCAATGCTACCTCTTGGTTTAAAAAATGAAGAGTGCTGAGTTTCTATCCGCTTCCGAAGTTCAAACCTGCGAGAAAATCCTCCCATTGGCTTCCACAATTGCTGAAGCACAAGAGGTTTCTCTTTGTCACTAATAACCCTGGCATACTCTGTTTCCCACTTATCAGCATCTTCTTCTAGATTGTTAACATTGCCTTTTCTCTTGGTAAAGTATCCAATTACATCACAGAGCACATAGTCAGAAGCCTTCTCTGTGGAAAGCGAGTATCTCTCTAAAGCCTGTTGAACAATTTCATCTGCAGTGGTCATCTCAGTAGCCCGCACACTTTTATAGTTTGAACCTGGTGAAACATGATCTCCAAAGACCTTGAGAATACCTGGTGCCATCTGCTCAGTAGATAGTTCAGTGGTCGTGTTTTGATCTGCCTTCTTCCTTTTAAGACGGCCAAGAGATCCCTTTCTTTTATGCTTTGAACGAGCAGTTTTGTTTGCAGCATGAGAACTTTGATCAGGTTGATTTCCTGCTGCATCAAAAAACATTCCAAGAGCACTCCTTGGGGAACTGAAAAAGTTTCTCATCTTATCACTCCTTGCTGATGATGGCATTTTGTCGTTTAGTGCGTTGTGAGTTGGTGATGGTGTTTTTGGCTTGGTAATTGGCTTTCTACTAGGTAAAGGGCTGTCATTTCTTAACTGTGATTGTCCAGCAAAGCTCCCAGAAGAACTATTATCACTGCCTGCAGTTCTAGTGCTGGCCAGTGATGGACTTGGAGATGGAAAACTACGGTTTTTAGAATGATCAGTCAAAGCTGTCCCATTTAACACTGATGTTTTGTGTATGGCTCCTTCACTATTTGATGCAGCACTCGTTTCTGGTGAAGTTTTAGCATCCAAACGCAAAACAAATCTTGGATGCTTTTTGGCATTCAATGCAATTTCAAGTGGAGCATCAGATGGATCTAAACAGATTTCATCTACAAAAGAAGAAAATGGTCTTGACACTTTTCTTTCACTACACAAACTTGACCTTTAGCCAACTAACAGATCTAAAACAATCAAAGTCTGTCAGTAACATGCTTTAAGCATGAGATCATTAAGCATTCATTTCTCTCACATGACACAGTCTAACACGCTCCATAGGGTAGGTCCTTTTATCTTTTAGTCCATCTATAAAACTTCCATTTTAAACCTTCAACTGAAGGTTCATGGTACTTCTTTGTGATTCAGTCTATTTTGGCATACCTGTGAAAAATGAAACTTCAGTTTTTTTTTTAATTTGAACTTTAGTACCCTGCAGGGTGGCACAGTCAGTAATAAAACATGTAAAGTATCATTTTTCAAAATAATGTTCTCTGTACTTTACGACTTTTAAATGAAAAGACTTACTGTTTGCTTTAGGCCTATTATTCAAGCACTAGATTCAGAGATTTCTTTAGCCATTATCTCAATAAAAATAGATCATCTAGACCCAAATCACTCTGACTGACTTTTCTTGATTTAAAATATATTCTAAATTTATCGTGATGATTGGAAAGAAAGTCATTCACCAGACAAAAAAGATTATTGAGATATCAAGGTGGGCCTAGTTGATAAAAAAAATAATAAAGAAATAAACAAAAAAATAAAACTTCAAATAAACGTTATGAAAAAATGAAGGGTAGGAACTTCAAAGGATTATTAAAAAAATAGCTGCTCAATTAAGGCAAGGAGCTTACTGATCTGTTGAAAGTTACTAGAGTTAATTGAAATTGTACATTTCAACAGATGTTTAGATCATGTGACATTCCAAGCCATACAGAAGTTTGTAGGTTTTGTTAAATTATGTAAGATCATGGGAAATAATTTCGCTGCCTAATTCAAAGTAAAGCACAGTTTCTTGTCATTGGTTTTTTTTTTTTAAAAAAAAATTATGAGTATTGTGTATCTTTTTATTGTCCTTTCCAGTTTATATTATTACATCATCTGTGTCTAGAACAGGAATTGGAAGCCAAAATTATTTTTTCTCAGCAGATGAAAAATTTATTAAATTCAAATTTTGTAATATTACCAAAAAAGTGATGGATCTTTAAGGTTTGGTACAAATCAAGCAACAATTTTGGAGAAGGGGTTTCTTCTGATAATAGACAATAATTAATGTACCCTTTGTAATTTTTACAACTATCTTCTTTGATATTGAAACCATTATTTTACAAAAGTGCCCCAGAGTATTGATATGGTAATAAATTCTCATTTATAAGTTTTGCACTCTTGAGGAGCTTGTATAGTTTGACTTTGTTAGCAAAGTCCTGATAGTAATATCACACTGGGTCAAATGTTTAACTTATTAGTCTAAACTGTTTTGTAAACAGCTCTATTTCTGGATCAAAAAATTCACTAGAGAAACACTACATTTCGTTAAGCAGAAGTTCAAAGAGCTACTTGAAAAGCCCTAGTCCTACTTTTAACTGTAAACAAAAACAATCTTCTTTCTTTGTTTGTAAAAAGGCAGTATAGGGAAGAAAACACAGAAGGCTTATCATTCTAAACTTAAAGTCTTCTTGAGATTACAAGAACTATTTTAACTTTGTGAATCATTTACGAAATATTCCTAAAATGTTCAAAATTTTAACTTATCAGCAAACTGTAAGAATGTGACCCGTTAGTGATACTCGTGTGACAGATTCGCTCTGTCCTTAGAGATAACGTGAGCTTAGTTAAAGAATTTGTAGGAAGGAGTACATTTAGTACCAGGTCTATGATAGAGTTTGATAGGCTTATAATTAAAAAACGCCAAAAGGAGGAATTCACATTCACCATGCAAATTGTACCAAAACGAAGCTAATTAAATGCTCGAAAACGTCGCTATTTAGTAATTGTAACTTTTAATTACTTAGCTCATCGAGGTTTAATTATATTAACGACAGTCATACTGCGAATACTGTTCGCACTTTGGCATACTGTTCCATACTTAGATAGATTTTGTGATTGTATGCCAAGATTTTGAGAAAGCAATTATAAATTTCCTTTTCCGTGTTAGATCCATAGGAGTTTTAATCAAGACTGTCAACGTTGCTATGTTAGGAATGGTACGAAATGTAAACACTACAAACTTTACAGAAAACAATTAGTTGTATATTGGAAGTCAAAAATGCGCATTAAATCAGGTTAATGTAATCGCGATTAAATTCTTCGCACCTTACGTAGTGTACACTATAATATCGAAAGCTGAGAATTTCGTTTTCTATCCTCCTGTCTGAAAGAACGTAATTCGATGAAACGTTCAAATCGCGCTGGTAGTTATTGAAAGATACTTGAAATCACACAGCGCGTAGCTAAAGTACCATTTATTGTTTATTCGCTATGGTCTGGCTCCGACTGTTAATTATCTAGACTGTTTTACCTTCTTCGTAAACTTCATACAGTTTGGCCTTCTTCTCGACCGCGGAGTTCGTAGAGTCGGGCTTGAACTTTTCGATCAGCGTTGGTAGGAGCTCCGAAACCAGAGTTTTGTTGGTGAGGCGTAGAGCCTTTGTCAGTTCCTCTTTCCCGTCTTCAAAGTAAAAACGTAAAGCACCTTCGAAACCTAAATCCTGAAATTGAAATAATGCATCATAGGTGATTCAGTATTCTGGTGCACGAGTCACACATCGATCGAACAAACGATCGGCCAATACGACTAATAGCAAATACGGCTCTACCTTCGTTCGCTAGCTGTGGTTAGCTGTAAAGTGCTGCACGTCTGGTTGCCACATATAGAGAATGTAAGTGACAGTTTGATGAGAAAATGTCAACGACTGAAACGATCAATTTTAAAAGTTATCTGATCGTTAGTGAAACTCGAATACGCTGTCAGATCTACGTTGTCTATTTCTGTGCCAGACACAAGCAAAACGCGTTAAGCGTTTATAATTATCATTCAGTGAGGCTTAAAGCCAACATTCCTTCGCCAATATATTCGTTCGCGATAAACATCATACGAACCTCTTTCAATATCAGTCGGAATGCCCCGTGTTGGTTTCCTTTGTTGTAAGCCGCTATCTTAAGCCCAAGCTCCCGTTTTGTGTTCTGCAGCTCTGATTCTTCATCATGTTCGTGATTCTGCTCGGAGCTTTGAGCCTCTTCTGCCACGATCCGCAAATGAGCTAAAATCCTTGGATCGGAGAGGATATTTGAGGACGAACGTTTCGAGAATAAACCCTGAGGCTCTTGTCCCTGTATTATATCATCCATCAGGTACAGAAAAAAGCCATGCATACGGGGCGAGTTTTACGGAACTTCGCTGTTCTGGGCTCCGTAAAGGGCACGCTATTCGACATCTTTCAGTAATCGGAAGTTGTGTACACACTTCGCCGCACAAGTTGATTGACAAGTAAAAGATATTTTAGATTGCTGTTTTAACAAACTCTTCGATCATTGGTTCTAGGACAATGCAATATTAATGAAATTTTCACACCATTGGTTGTATACAACGATCTCTTACCTCAACAACAAAAGAAATATCACCGAAAGTCTCAGACATGTCACAAACACTTAAAAAGTCAACCAAATTATTTATAAACATGGCTAAAAAACGTTAGAGGAGTCTAGGAAGTCAAGTAACCATAAATACAAATAACTCAAGGATAACACATTTGAATTGTTAAACAAATTGGAATAATACTGAGTAATAGGATAACATTAGATAATATCTTAAAGACCCTTAAATGTTCATACATTTTTTGTGAAGAATCCAATCCTCCATCTCAAATCTTAAATGTATAGATAATCTAAAACAAATCGTTTAATACATCTTTCGATGGCTCAAGTTCTCAAATCTTAGGATTATCTAAAAGAAAAAAAAAAAAAAAACAATTATTTTTTGGGTGAAGAGACGGGTGCAGATTTTCAGCGCCCCAGAATGTACACATGGTCAGCAGTACTTCCCATGACAACTCGGCACCAAGGCAACGCGCGGTGTTCGGGAAGTTCACAAAATGGCGTTCGGGGTTGTTTAGGAATTCAAAAAACAAATTTTAGGGGCTGCAGTGTTCATTCCAGTGACAGGAAAATGGAAGAAACGTTTGATGAAAGGTTTCAATATGTCTAAAAGTTCCTCAAGTTCGAGTTCTTCTTCTGGTTCTTCATCAGGTTCGGAGACTGAAGACATACAAGACGATGAGCCAGCTCCTGTTTTGATTCGCGAACCACAGGCAGTCCGGTTAGACTTTTGTCTTTCAATTTAATCTAAATTTTTTGTGCGATTGCTAACGGTGCGGAATTACAAAGAAAGGACTCGTTTGTGTCGTGATGTTTTGCAGAGTACCTGAATGGAGTATTACGCATTCAGACATTGAAGTCCCGTCTCAGCCTTCCTTTACTACCAGGTAGAATGGTTCTAATTGCAGTTAACGTGAAGTTCCATTCGAATTCAGATCTGTTTTGTTTTATTATTAGTGTGCATTTTTGTGATAAAATTTTCACGGAATGTTTCAAAGTTAACGTTTGATTTGTTTTTCCGGCTTTTATGTCTGTACTCTCCACAATAAGGAAGCTAAGGAAATATCAGCTTATTAATAAATTAAGAGAGTTAAATTGAAACAACATCGTCATCAGGGCTGATTATGCGTTACAAGGTAATTTCCAGCCTTTTAAAATTTACATACTACATATTTTCCAAAGGTAACAGTGATTATTCAGTAAGCATGGCTTCTAATTAAAGACAATGGAATTAAGGCATTTTAATTTATTTCGTAATTTTTCTCATAAGTCTCCCCAGACCAAAGCCTCGCACAAGGAAAACAGACCATGCTGATGGTACCAGCAGCTTGGCAGATGAAGTGCGTACCACTAAAACACGCCCCCCTTGGCAGATGCTGAAGACAAATGATGCCCTACCCCCTAAGGCATTAACTGTAACATCAGTGTCACAGGCCTATGATCTACAGGTAATTAATGTACACCAGAGGTGCATAATGTAGAGTTTTTATGCTTTTGCTGGGATCAGTGGTTCTCAAGAATAACATTATTAATGTCCTTTTTGAGACACTTCCCTTTCTTCACCAAATAAATTAACATGATCAAACATTTCTTTCAATTTACTACATTAAATCTCATGAAAAGTTTTGTTTAAAATTTTGATTCAATGGTTTCAATTTTTCCTTAGTCTTATTTATTTAGTAAAAAGCTGGAATAAGTAAAAAAAATTGGAGATATAACTCAAATACACTTGTATCAGATTGTGTGACAAGTAATCCATATAAAATTTACAGCATGTTTAATAATTGTGCCATGAATAAAATATGATCCTGAACACCTGCTATTTTAATTTGTGCTTCTGTTGCTAAGCTTGATGAATGCTTTTAAAAATATATTTCCACTGGATTATTGAAGATAGAATTATTTTCATGTCAGAAAGTAGAGCATGGAATCTCTGACCAAGAAATAGTAATATTTGACAAATTTATTTGTATCACTGCATTTTGAGTTAAAATGTTAAAAGAAAAGTGTCTGCTTTACTCATCTAATGAAAGCTGGGATGAAGATCAGGTATTTAAAATGTTAACAATAAACTTATATTTAGTTCATGATTGGAAAAACTTCTGGAAAATGATGTCTTTACATTTTGAAGAACATTTAGATTTAACTTTGGGCACACTAATTATTTTTTTTACTCTTTCTTTTGTACTAGATTTAATATTTTCAATTGATCTGGCTTTAAGCATGTTATTTTTATATTTTACTTTCAATTATTGTCTTGAATAGCAGACTTTCATGTAATATTCTGATTCAACATGTTCTCTGCTTTCCTTTTAGTTTATAAATTTATGTACGTGTCAGTGATTTCTATGCACAGATCAGAAAAGTTATCTTTAAGAATTTGGTCCATACACAATGATTTTGTCATGTATATTATCAAAGAATCATCAATCAAAATCTTTTTTGGAACACTTAAAGAGTATTATGCAAGTGCTTATATACATTGTTTGCATTTAGTTATAAACTATATATATATATACATGGCATTTAAATGAATACATCCTTGGAAAATACACATAACTATCTCTTACCTTTTTTTTTTTTTTTTAAGAAATTATGAGCCTTTGGTTACAAATTTTATTTTACATTTAAAATAGTTTTGACCTGACTGTTTACTCCTAAGATCTGAAGAGTAATTCATGGTGCTGTTCACCTTACATTCCTGAAAGTGTTGTTCCTGCAAATGATATTGTCTCTTTCCTATTTTTCTTTATTCTCATGAACTGTCTGCTTCGGTAGTGTATTGATACAAGGCTCGACACTAACATTAGCCCACTAGCCACAGACGAGTAGAAATTCGGTTTTGGCTAGCGGCTTTCAATTTCCGCTAGCCAGTTTGGCTAGTAAACAGACTGAAATTGTCCTAACATCTAAAAACATCTAAGATGTCACTATAGCCACTTGGCTAGTAAGCTGGAAAGTTAGTGTTGAGCCCTGTGATATTCAGTAAATGGCTTGAACCCGGGGGTAACATGTGAAAGTGTAGTGTGATCGTCCGGGTGAGTGTAGTCCTGAGAAGGAGACAGTCATCATCAGAGTCAACTGACTCTGATGATGACTTCCTCACTGGTTGTCGAAACGTCAGTCACTACCACTGACAGCAGTCCTTCTCAGGACTACACTCACCCGGACGATCACACTACACTTTTACCCTGTGATATTGTAGGGAGAAATTACTAGAAGGTAGAGAGTTAATGGAGTCATTCCAAGCAGTCATTTATAATAATAATAATGATAATAATAATAATAATAACGCCTTTATTAGTAGTACTTTCACATGGTGGCTCTTGGTCTACTAATGACCTAGCTACAGTATATTATTACAAGGAAAAATCAAGCCAAAAAAAAATGATAACAATAAGATATGTACAGTTAAAAAATGGGATGGTTAAAGATAGCCTGCGTGCAGCCTCACTGGTCCTCCAGAGGGGCTGCACGCAGGCTAGATTAAAGAAAAAAAAATTAAAAATAAAAAAAAAAGCATTCTGAGTTATTTGTGAATTCATCTAAGGATCAATGTTACAAACTAATTACAGAAGATTTCCAGGGTTGATCTTGCCGTCAATTTCTGAGTTTTTTATGATTAATAGCTTCATTGACTCAATTTTTATTGAATTGTGATCTATAGGCTGTGATTGGATTGGAAGCAGCTCATGCTGAGGGCCAGTCATCATCTGATTGGCTGGGAAGACACAGTGTTAAAGCAGAGGCTCTTTCATTCAATGAAATCATGAAATGTGGAGTTCCTATTAAGTTAATACATTCCTTTGTTGGCATATTTTGCAAATTTGATGTTATTTCAAAAAGGCTATACCCTAGTTGATTATTCAAACCTGACTTTCAGAATATTGTATTGTTTAGACCTCCACTTGGCTCAGATCCTAATCAAGTTCACCTGAAGTATGATGCTGTTAAGCTGCAAGATTATGAATTTAAAATTACCAAGTAAGTTTTTAATGCAATTTCTTCTTGTCTCTTA